AAACACACAAATTGTATGCAACCCCAAGTGGAACAGCTTGGAGCCCAGTTCCCCCCAACTTAACTGATTGTCCATTGTTGGGTAAACCCAAATTTACTCAACATCGAGATTGGTGTTGTTTGAGGGTAACATCATGTGGACTACACAAATTAAATGTGAAAGCAAACAGCTGCAAACACACAATAAACCTCAGTGTGGAAAAGCCCCATGTATCTGATTAGAGTAGGTGTAGCTCAAAAAAGCTTGTCCCAAAATAAATGAATTAGTCTTGAAGGCGCCATAAGACTCTTTTATATTTCTCCTGCAACTAACATGACTACCTCTCTTGCAGTTAAAATCAATAGTACTTCCAAGTTTTCTAAGTATAGTTAGGACTGAGCCAGGGGTGCCGACTTGCCCCCCACATTAAGGGGGCGCAGTCATGTGATGTGTCACGTGATGCTGCCCACAAGACCTGTGGAGGGTGATCTCCGCGCTTGCTTGTCTCAGCCACAGCCTAGGAGCCGGGGTATGGCTGGGACGAGTGAAGCAAAGATCACCTACGTTCGTCCCAGCCATGTGGAGTCTGGGTTGCTAGGCAGAGGCTGGCGCTGGGACGTGTATGCAGCTGCGGCAGTGTGTGGTGGCAGCCCCCTCAATATTGGGGGGGGCGCTACCCCTGCCAAAAAGTATTGGCAGAGCTGAAGCCCCCTCCGCCCCCTATACCCAGCACCACTGGACCGAGCTGTTAAAATTGTATGGGCATGACAGGCAAAATCTAATAGCAAGCATTATTTTGTCTCACTGCACCTTTCATGAACAACGTGAAGTCTGCTTTTAACAACAAACATTGTTATAGCTATAGAGAACTGATTTAAATAAAAGTTCTCCAGGAGTACAGTACTGCCTTCATTTCTTTCCTTCTTTTTTGGTGCAGAAAACTTACATTGCCTGTAGTCTTTGGTTTATTATTTATCAATCTTTAATTAGCACAATCTTGCAGATATTGAAATAAAAGAAAAAGACACAGTGGTGTACCTAACATTCTCTGTTTCTGTTTGTATGGCAAGCAGCTACACAAGCAGACAGAACTGTTTGCTGAACATTAATTTTTGATTTTAGCAAACGGGCAAGTTCACATGCCTACAAGTGAGCTTGCTTCTGAGCACAACTAATTATATAGTGGAAGAGCTCACCACAAGCACAAATCATAGAGTCAGCTGTGTAGATTCTTCTAATCTTCTCCACAGGACAAACAAATAATTTGCACCAATGCTGTAAAGATTTCATCCTATACCTTGCAAGAAGGGCAGAGTCACCCAGAATTAGGGTGGTATAGTGTGGTTTAGAAGATTGCAGTTGGACTCCTATTCTCCTCTGAAAATCACTGGGTGACTCTGGGTCAGCCCCTGGGCCAGCTTTTCTCACAGGATACTTGTGAGGACAGAATGGGGGCAAACCCTCATTTATGTTTTCCCAAGTTCCTTTGGGAGAGGGTGGGGCATAACTGCAAAGAATAACATAAGTAAAAGGCAAGTTTAGTGTTGATGACTGTGCTCCAGGTCCACTCAATTGGTCCTTGGGGTGCTGCATAGAAAGGCCGACATCTTCCTTGCTCCCTAACAATTCTAAGTTTGGGCAGCAGCAGGGAACACTGATCTTCTGTCCCAAGGGAATCAAACATGCTCCTACTCTGCATTTGCCATCCTAAGATCTGAGTCTATACATTCTGGCACTACAGCACCATTGTTTTTGCAGGCCAATTGCTACATTTCTATTAAAGAAGGAAAACAATATACAAATGTAAATTTTAATCAATATATGACTGAACAGTTTTTATTCTGCCAGCTTATTCATTGGGAGTTGAGAGAGAGAATGGTGAAATGAACAATCCAACGAGCAAGCAGTTTTAATGGTTCCTTACTTTCCCAGCCTTGCTAGGTTAGCAAGAGTGACATACAGTTTAACTCCCCGCCTCTTTTCTTCAGTGAACCATGCTTATACATGGCTACAAACTGCCTGTTTGGGCAGACTGCTGCATATCTTTTTGTAGAGCACAGTTCTCATCCCTGTATTCTCTTGGTGCCAATGGGGAATTTCTTCCCCAAAGCAAATACTAGCTTTAGTAAAAGGATTGTCCTCAGGACTGAAGCAGGGAAGGAATGCCTTAAATTCTCCCCTCCGCACCTGCTGGTGGAATTTGCATCTTTTAAAAACCTGCATTTTTGTTCAGCATTCATAAATAACTCAGAATTTGGCAGTAGCAGCCTACTTCAAACATTAGGCATGCAGTTCCAGAGTCCTATGGAGTTATTTTGTTTACACAAAACACTGCAGAAGTAGGAATACCCCAGACTTTATAGTGTCAGAGATTTGCTGATTTATTGGCTGTTAGGAGAGCTGGACAGCCCAAGAGGCAGGATGAGGGAGCCGCCTGAAGCAGCCGTTCAACTGCCAAGGTGGAGGTGGAGGTGGAGGCATCTTCTACTGTAAGGAGCTAACCATATACATTTGAAACCTTTCCTACTTCCCCTTGCTATTTGTTGCCCCATTTTTAACCAATGGCTCATCCCTTCATCGGAACTTGGCTGTATCTTGATCCTATGGAACCTTCCAATCTGCACTGTGCTGCTTCAGTCAAGGTTTTATTTAAAGGTTATTGATGACGTTATTCTGTAAAATGTAATATGGCATCCTCTCTTGCTCCTTGTTCTTCTGCTCTTACATGCAACATTGAGCTATGTGGGGTTTTAAAAGGGTCCCCCAGTCCCTGACATTACTATTCAAATGCTATGAAGCTGTTGCTGACTCCATTGCACCAATGTTACAAAGTCACTGCTCTGTGCAAAGAAATGTCATTACCCAATTCACATGATTACACCGTTTAAGCCATTTTTTTTTATCAGACAAGGAAAACAAGGTGAGAGTTCCCAGAGAAAGCTAGTGTGATGCTTAAAAATAAAAAAAACACACTTGCTTGCAATTTCATACTTGTTGCAGATGGTTTGAACTTCCTACTTAGGATCAGTGTACTCTTTTGGGGTCATCTAGGGGTGCAGCTTGGCTTGTTAAAAGAAGGGGCCTTTGGGCTTCCTGTGGATAGAGCTATATAATAATGCAGTACACTACTAGTCTTGCAACTTCTTGGTAGCATCACACCCACACAGGCATTTCAACGCCACCACTAAAATGCAGCACTCTTTTGCTGTGTGGGAGGTGACAGCTGTTTGACAGTAGTAGTTAAAGTAAACCAGAAGCCACTTAAAGTTGTTGTGAGAAACATCTATATACACTTGAAATTTCAAGATAGCTCTTTTCCCCCTTTGGGGAAATGAAGGGTGCAGGGAGGGCTAAATGGTACTTGGATTCGAGCCAGGTAATCACGGACTGGATTTTATGTCCCATCCAAGCAGCATATGTACCCACAGTGGTGCAGCACCCCACAACACGGTCACAGTGTTGCTTCTGTGCTAATTGAGAAGCCATCTGCTGCCCAGGTATCAGTTCCAGTTCCCAGAGCACCAGGAACTGCACAGATCCCTGACTTTACATTGCAGAAGAGAATTTTTTAAAAGAGGAAGACTTTTAGGACCAGCCCCAAAAACCATCTCCTGAAATAATGCCCTGAAAATCAAAAGGCACTGCTGTGCCATAAACACTGATCTGGTTTTTTTATGCGTATGTCACAGTAACTTTTAATCTGATTTAAATAACACCAACTTTAACCCAATTTTATGATTTAGAATGGAATTTTTTTATATCTCCAAAAAGATGTAAAAGTGGTTTAGAAGAAACAAAATTGCTTCCAAATAAATTACTTTTGTAAAATCCTATAAATCAATCTTCTTAATATTGTGCACTAAGAGGCAGGCTTGTGCTTACTGTGCATTTTCCAACCTCCATTTCCACCAACAAAAAATATATGATCCATACTAGAGACTGGGTGGATAATAGATCCAAGCCATGTGACTCAGTTCTCTGTAGTTATAACCTCTAGTTATAAGCTCACTACTATGCTGAGGATTATCAGATAAAGACGGTAAATTAATTGAGTACTCTCAGGTTCTGTGCCTCTGGTCTGGACTCATGAAAGGGCCAACATTGCTCCATGGTGATTTTTGCAATGATCCATTAGATTCTAGCAGAACTGGAAGACTTCACATACATTTCCAATTAGATATAAAGGGTATGACTACACCATCTTCCTAGGAAATTCACCATTTACAGTTCATGCTGAAACTGATTACCTATGAAAGCAGCATGACATCTTCCAGGTGCAAATCAAAGACTTTTTTAAATAAAATGATGGATGACTCATCTACTATCATATTTCCTTTAAACTTCAGAAACCCAAGACCAGAATATGCATTCGTAACCATTTACATAATGCAGAACAGGAAAGAGATATCTGTGTGGTGATACAAGGCTTGGGTACCTTAAGACCTTTCCCTACCTACATTCTTCGGCCTTTACCCACAAGGACAAGGTCCATCAAGTCAACTCCAGCCTTCATGTACTCACTAGGCAAGGCCGTTACTCCATCAACTCTTTGGCAATCAAATAATTATCATCAGGATCTATCCCAGCGAGTTGCAAAGCATTCTGTCATTTCAGCTTGGTATCCAAACCAAATGCAACCAAATCCAGAGCAGCTCCTTCTTACCCAGGCTTGATGCTTTTGTGTTCAGAAACAAAACAAAATAAAAAATTGCTTGCCCGTTGCTGTCACAGTGCTACTTTCCCAGGGACCCTCATCCTCTCACAGGCCAAGAAAACATGATCGCTTTGTTCTCCCCAGTCTCTTCCAAAACCAAATTTTGGAGAAGCAAGAGGGAAACCAAATAAGATTCCTTTATGCATTTGTTTTCCTATGAGAATAGTTGCTAATTTCCCCCATCAAACCAATCAAAACATGCACTGCCATTCATATCCTTATCAAGCATATCCTTATCTATATTGAAACCAGCCACAGGAAATGCACTGCTTTTCAACACTCTTATAAATTAAATTAGGAGCCTTACCTCCACCAGGTGAGGTGTTGGGTTGAATCCACACATGTTGCAGACCTGCTGCTTACAGGATGTACAGGTATTATAGTTGGAGGGTTCACCGGAGCCCACGTTGATCTCTGCTTTACAGAGGGGGCACAAGACCCTTGCTTTCGGCACTTCCTTTGGCTTAATTACTTGTTCTGCTTTTGCTTGCTTTGCAGCCGGGACAGTTCCAGCCTTACCCTGCATTCCAGGTGTGGTGCCTGGGGCTTTAGGACCAGCTTCTTTGCTGGCATCGCTGAAGACAATTTTCGGAGGCACTTTGCCAGGGGACTGCTGACTTGGTGGGGTGGCCTCTGGCTGGACAGACATGAGTGTGCTTGCCTGGGTCAAGAGGGAAGCCCCAAATCCAAAGAGTTTACCAGTGAGGCCCTCTTGGGGCTGCTCTTGCACCCCAGCACTGGGGGCAGGGGCCGAAGTCTTAGCTGGAGAGTCTCCCACAGTCTTTCTCTGATCAGTGGACGAAGGCTTTGCTTGCTGATGCTGAGGGGAAGACCTCACCACTTCCTGAGGAGCAGCAGGTTTTGGCTGGGCTTGGCTGGGTGGTTCCCTCTGGGCTGAAGCAGGGGGTGGTTTGGGGGTCTCAGGCTGCATGACACCAGCACTTGGCCTGGGGCCTGGCTGCATAGTTCCTGGTTGTTTCTCTGGTCCTGGTGCCACATGGGGCAGTGGCTGTTTGGCTGGGGAATGGGAAGGGGAAAGTGCCGGGGAATGTAGCTGCTGCTGGCTTTTGGAACGGGGCGCAGTGGTCATGTCCATCCCCAAAGCTCTCTGCATCTGGCAATTTAAACATAACCACTCTTGCACCTAGAAGACAAAAACAAAGAAAAGCCCATAAGGATACATGCACAACTCGGTCTTCAGACAGCTAGACTGGCAACATGAGAACACAGAACCTTTGTCCCTTGTTGAATGTTTCTTTTCCACCCAATGAACAAAACAGACTCAGTACATGTCTATAAACTCTTTCTCCAGAAAGATATTTTGCTACTCAATAAACATCAGGGGTCCATCTGTCAACTATTTCTTTTCTTTCAAGGCCTCCAGTGAAATCTCTGTCTCTAATACATCCAGCATAAATTTGTCTCTAGGACCTAGTTCATGTCTGATGAAGGCCTCGGCCTAAGCATCCGAGGAGAATATGGGACTGAGGAGCATGTAAGTCCCCCAACATCATCACAGCCATGCCACATTGTTTGTGTGAACATTTTAAAGCTGGTATTATCAGGCATATGGCAGTGGCAACGTAGCTGGCCTCCATCTGGTGTTATCAGTTCAAGCAGTGGCGGAGGAAGCCGCTCAGCTGCCTGGGGCGCACCGTCCATAGGGGCGAGGCTCACCGCGTCTCTCCCAGGAGAGGGTCTGCGCGCACTGCAGACCCTGCGGTGAGTGTCACCTGGCATTTTGTCACCCCCCTCATTGTTGACACCAGGGGCAGACCAGCCCTACCGCACACCCCTTCCTCCGCCCCTGAGTTCAAGCATGAACACAGCCTAAGCGGGAGCACAGCAGCCCTGTGTGCTGACAAGGAGACCACCTACAAGTATGAGTGAGGCTTAGTTTAGTGGCACTGTTCAGCTTAGTATTCTCCAGTGCACTGACTTATCTGGGGAAAACTTGTTCAATGAATGGCCAACCCTGGCAGCGGCACGTGAAAATCATGTAGTACTATGTATACCCAGACAGCATGACTTGCATGCTGCTGCCAGGTTGGTCATTGACTGAAAAGATTAAGCTTTACTACATTCTACAACCTTTCAAAGCTCTGGAAAGCAAACACAGCAGCATCTCAGAGGCAAGATGGAAAGGTTCAGCCTTCCTCACCAGACATATATGGTTGACTGAAAGCAAGACACATTTTCACTCAATACATGTGAAACCCCTAGATACAAAATGAAAACTGTGACATGCCTTGGCTAAGTACTAACAAATGAAACATTCTCCCCATGAGAGAGATACCCAGTGACACAATAATATCTGAATCAAGTTAATTAAAAAGGCTTTATGGGAGCTGCAAATCTTTTGATTCTTTGAATCCCCAGGACACCATGTGACTGTACAAATATTAATATATAACACACTGTTGGATAATCACAGTTCATAAACTGGAGATTTTCTTAGGCAAGCAATTGCAGTCCTAAAAAGCAGCGCAGTCAAGAAAGGTTTACAATACAGGAAAATAATAGCTGAGAATTTCAGAGCAAGGCTGAGACAGTTAGGGCAGCACCAATGCATATACTGGTAGTTGCTCTTCTAACCCAAGAAACCCAAAGCATGTATTAAATCCCACCATTTTAATCCTATCCTCCCAATCTCCCTGAACTCTTACAGCTTGCCAGCCCCCCTGGTCCCAAACTATTTCCAAACTGAGGGTCCTCAGCCCATGATTAAGTACCAGTTCATCTTATGGGGCTAAAGAGCTGGAGGAGTCACACATTTGGGCCCTGGCAGTTCTAGAACTGTTGAAATGCTACTGCTGATACGAAGACTTCAAGGGGTGCAAGTGTGACGATCTTTGCAACTGATCCCTCCGAAAGAAACGGAATCTACTTTTTCATCTAACCTAGGGAAACTTGCCCTTCTGGTTCTTTACCCACAGACCTAATACTATGTGAATCAGAGCAGAATGCACAGCCATTTTAGTTTCAACATTTCATAGCTTTGAAAGGCTGTAAGCAGACTTTTCAAAAATGAGGAGGTGAGGTAAAACCTTTCTCACCACTGAGAAAACAAACAAACCAATAAGGCAGTAACAGAGTCAGGAACAAAAAAGACTGCCATTTTTATCTACCTGCCAGAGACACTTATTTGACAACACCAGTTTGAAAATGGATGAAGAGATACACAAAATAGCTTACAATTACAGATATCCTTCACTTCCTATATAATTTTTCAAAATCAACTATTACAAAAATGCAGTACTGCATTAATAAAATGGTTCATCAGTAGTATGCAGAATGGTCCCGAGTTCAATCTTCAGTTAAAGATATCAGATAGCAATGCTCAAAAACACCACCGCCTGAGACCCTGAAATGTTGCCTGTAAAAACAGACAATGTTATGCAATACGAACCAATGCCTCAGTGAAAAACAGCTTTGTATGTGCCAGTGAATTATGTGTGTAGAATGTATTAATTTTGCCTGCTTTCTGGGACAATTGCTTCTTGTGTTCACGGTTGCTTCTTGTGTTCCTTTTACACTGGTACAAAAATCACAATAATAAAAATAGGCTGCCTCAGGAAGAGAGAGAGAGAAGAAAAACTGGAGGAAATGCTTCATTATCAATCAAAACAGCCTCTGCCTTCATATATGCAAAAGGAGAAAGCTAAATTCCTGTGATTTTCAGTTTACCTTGATAAGGCTTCCAGAAGAAGAAGAAAAATACTGGCCCCTCAACCCACCCCCTGCAAGCCTATTAACTTCATTCATTCTTCATTCTATTGATTTAGTATCTTAAAATGGCACAACTGCAATGAACACAATACAGACATCTTTTGCATGACTGGCAACTCACTCCTATAAATGTTTACTTGGAAGGATCATTGAGTTCAACAGGACTTACTGCCAGGTCAGTATGCATTTAGACTGCAACCTAAACCAGTCTTTAAAACATAATCAAGGCTATAAGTTTCTGTTAACCCCATTTGTAGTCCAAAGATGAGAAACTGTGTGACTTATGAAAAAATGCAGGAATTGTCCAATAAATTAAGTCACTATTTACAAACAAACAAACAAACAAAACCTACCCACAGAAAATCATACCTACTAAGCAGTGCTTTTTTTTCTTTAAAAAAAAAAAGTTTAGGGGTACTCTGAGTTTCCTACTCATATTGAAATACTGCCCCTTAATGAGGCCAAACTTAGATTCACAAAATGTTTAGGGGTAGGCGTACCCCTGCGTATCCCCAGGAAAAAAGCACTGCTACTAACCATGATATACAGTTGTATGTAAGAGGGTTCCATAACTCTAAAAGCAGAATTAAACCCATCCTAGTCCCAGTGAGTTTGAAGGCCTGGCTTCCTGCTACAGCTTCTCCATCCTATAATCACTAACCAACAGAAATCAATTTTATAGGGGCTGAACTTTTACAGGGGGAACTTCCATAAAACAGAGCTAATAAAGAATGCCCCCCCCCACCTGCACACACACACACACACACATTCAGAAACTAGACAGCACAACACCTCTGTTATTTGAGAGCAGGTCTTCCAATCAAGACACTGAGCTGTCAATTATAACCGGCAAAACGTTCCTCCAGCAACCCAGCCCAAGGCAAAAGGACAACCCTTCCAGTTCATTAAGAAATACTTCTTGTGTGATTTGATGCCTCACTAGATCCCATTTAGATGTTCTTTGTCCTTTGGCTCCTGGAAAAGACCAAAAGGTCTGAGCACGTGCGTGTATACAGGTCTTTCTTCCCTGCTTTGCAAGCAAGAAATGTAGGCAAGTCTGCCCACAGTGAGTGTAGATGTTTTCTCTGCAGTTCTAGGCTTCTTTCCCTTTGCTGCCTTAAAAAAATTGCAGCCAACACAGCACACCTTCAACATCAGCCCTCTCAATCAAGGCAACAGCATTTAGGGTGCTTTTTGGTGCTGTGCTGAAAAGGGCCATGGGACAAGCACGTGAATAAACAAGAAGCCTCAGGGCACTGGCTAGTCACTCTTTGTCTTTCTCAGAATTAAAATAGCAACTTGAGAGGGAGGAGAGTGGCCTGAAGGCAACAAGGATCACTGGTGCTCAAAATTGTTTTCATTCACTGGTACCTTATGCCTGAAGCAGAAGCAAACACATAAAGACATTGGATTTTTGTACAGGAGGGGGGGAGGAGTTTAGCTGGAGGGTACAATTCTGATGCTTTACACAATAGATATTATACTAGAAAGAGCAAACGGCTCTGAGTAAACAGACTTACATTTTATAACGTTAGCGCATGTTGGCATCAAGATATTCACACAAAACAGTGTTAGTCTGTGTGGGTCCACATATTTACACATCCCCCCCAAGCTGAAGGCTGCAACACGAGTCTCTTCAGGGCCTCCTTTTACAAACAATGCTGCTACTTCTAAGCGTACAGGCAAAAAGTCTTCCGGCCTACTGCAGTGCAATGTACTGACAGAGACTGCTTTGCAGCTCCTTCCTGAAAACTGAATGCATCTTAGAATTTGAACTCATTGCCCTGTCATGGGCGCACTATTGTTTTCACCTTGCTGTACTTGTCCACATAAAGCTGTATACATTAACACAGCTAGTATCAGGCTACTGAGAGCTGGAGGCCAACCATTAACTGATTTTGTTAAAATTAAATACTGCCCCTCAACTAAGAATCACAGGACAGTTTACAGTATAAAAACGCAAAAATACACAACGTAATAACGAACAAAACAATAACCATCCCTCCATACACATTATTATTAACACAAAAAGCACACATTGTAAAGCACCTCTCAATTTTCATGGACAAACTAAAGGTTGTGGCTTGGGAGCAGACCAGAGGGAAGACCTAGCCTCAGTTCGGCATTGGGATCACGGTATCCCTTTAACGGGATCCTGGGGGCAGTGCTTTGTCCTGATGCCCAAAAAGGGTCTGATGGGCCATAGCTCCCCAAAATGGTGGTCTTAAGGGTGGGGCCACCCTGATTTGATGTGCATGATAGGGTGACCCTTAACCTTGGTTAACCCTGTCAAGCATCTGTCAGCAATTGGGCTGGTCGATGTTAGGATACACACTCAATGCTGATGCCAAAACCTGCTAACATCTGTAATCAATAAAGTTGTGGCCTGTAAAATCCCAATATTGTTGTCTTGTG